AGGGCTCAGGACTGGCAGGTGCAAAACCAAACTCTGCAAATTCAGACTCAAGGCCAATCACAATTCCAAGTCAGTCCCTGTGCCTTTGGGTTTAGGATGACCTATTAGACTCAAACTCTAGGTCTTCCCTTGCAGATCCATCCCCAAGGCTCACCTCATATGCCAATCAGTAAGTCATTTCATTAGATCCAAGCTCCATGCAGAGCCAAGAATATGAGATCTGTATACCAGTGTATACCAGCCTTTAATCCCAGGGAGGCAGAGGCAGGCGAACCTCTGTGAGTTCAAGGTCAGCCTGGTCTACAAAGTGAGTTCCAGGACAGCCAGGACTGTTATACTGAGAAATTCTGTCTCAAAAAAAACAAAAGAGGAGTGAGAGAGAAACACACACACACACACACACACAGAGAGAGAGAGAGAGAGAGAAACCAAATGCTCTAAAACATTTGTGAGAAATCAGACACAAATAACTATAGAGATATCCTGTGTTCATTGGTTTGAAGAATATTGTTAAAATGCACAAATGATGTAAAATGGTTTATAGATTTAACAATCTCTACCAAAATTCCAATGGATTTTTCACAAAAACAGAAATTGCAAAATTCATACAGGAACACACACACACACACACACACACACACACACACACACACACACACACACACACACACACACTCAAATTGCAAAAGGCAAACTGAAACAAGATGCGCACAGTTGGAAGCATTACACTACCTGGCAGAGATGGAGGGTCTGCGGGGCTCACCAATAGGGACGGCCATTCACCATGGCTGACCTGACTGTAGCAGCTGCTGCAAGCCAGACCTGCCAGAGGCAGAGAGCAACAGCGACCTCCTGATATGACACCATTCCCCAAGGTAACCAGCCAGCTGCCTGCCTTATACTTCAAAGGTTTGGTTCACTACAGTTACAGTGGGAAGCAAGGAGCATGTGGTCAGACATGCTACCTGGAGAAGGTCCTGGGGAAGGAGCTGAGAGTTCTTACATCTTAACTCACAGGCAACAGGAAGTGAACTGAGACACTGGGCAGTAACTTGAGCCCGCTTCCACAGTGACACACTTCCTCTAACAAGACCACACCCACTCCAACAAGGCCACACCTCCTAAGAGTGCCACTCCCCTTGGGTAAACATTTTTTTTTTCAAACCACCACACTGATTTAAAAACTGACAGCTACACAGACCAAACCAGCATGGCACTGATCAAAACAGGCCGGGGAATAGAACATTCCCCAAATTAAGCTGAACATTATGATCAGTTGATTTTCACAAGCATGCCAAGAACACACAATTGAAAAAAAGGACTGTTTCTTCAACAAATGGTGTTGAAGAGTTCACATACCATGCATGAAAAACAATGCAACATAACTAGAACACTCACATGTAAGGCCTGAAACCTTAAAACCACCAGAAAAAGAAAACACAGGAGAAGAACTTTTGGCAGTGGTATGAACAATGATTTTCCTGGAAATGACCCCAGAAATAGAAGCACCAAAGCAGAAACAGCAAATGTACTTGAAGCAAAAAGCTTCTGCACAGAACGAACCTGTCAGCAGGGTTAAGAGACACCCTGTGGAATGGAGATGTTTACAGACTGTCTATCTGATAGCAGGGTAATAAAAAATCTATAAAGAACCACAACTCAACAGTAAGAAAGCAAATAACTCCATTTTTAAAAATGGACAAAGAGGCTGGGCGGTGGTGGCACATGCCTATAGACAGAGTTTCTGTCCCACTGGGACACACAGCTGCTTGGTCCCAAATAAACACACACAGACTTTTATTAATTAGAAACTGTTTGTTCCACGGCTTAGTCTTCTTATTGGGTAGCTCTCTCTTCATTATTAACCCATTTCTATTAACTAAGTATTTCCACATGGTCTTATGTTATTGAAGAATCTTGCTCCCTCAGCAGCTACAGGATGTCTCCTTCGACACCTCTCTCTGCCTCCTCTTCCCAGAATTCTCCTCATCTCTGCCTATACTTCCTCGCAATCAACCAATTAAGAGAAACATATATACAGAAGGACATCCCTGATCGCCTTTAATCTCAGTACTCATGAGGTAGAAGCTGGTGGATCGCTATGATTTTGAGTCCAGCCTGGTCTACAGACTAAGTTCTAGGACAGTCTAAAGCTACACAGGGAAAGCCTGTCTCGAAAAAGCAAAAAAAAAAAAAAAAAAAAAAAATAGAAGACACAGAAATGGAATGGATACCTGGGGGAAAAATGTTTAACATCACTTATCATAAAGAAAAAACAAATTAAAACAGAATGAGATCCCATCTCACATCCATTGGAAGATCATTGTTTTTAGATCAACAATAATTCAAGAATTAGCATGAAGGTATAGAAAAGGCAGTTCATTTGAATTGCTGGAAGAAATGTAAGTTAATATAGACAGTTGAAAAAAATAGTATAGAAATTAAAAAAAAGAAAAGTGTAACTACTTTAATACCTAGTGGTTGCACTTCTGGTTGCACAGTCAAAGAAAGTGGCATCAGTGTGTGGAAGAGGCATCTGCTCTTTTTTGTTCACTATAGCATTATCACCAACCAGGATACAGAACCAACATCAGTCTCTACAAACCACACTGGATAAACAAAACATCATACATACATACATACATACATACATACATACATACATACAAGGGAAAACTCTAACCTTATGAAAGAGGAAATATGTCACCTTTTACAACATGGATGAATCCAGAGGATACCAATAAATGAACTAAGCCAGGCACAGAAAGACAAATACTATATGATCTCACTTGTAATATAAAAAAAATCCAATTTGGGTAGAGGCCATGAAATTTGAGAGAAAGCAAGGTGTGTGTGTGTGTGTGTATGTGTGTGAGTGTGTGTGAGTGTGTGTGAGTGTGCGTGTGTGTGAGTGAGTGTATGTGAGTCTGTGTGTGAGAGTGTGTGTGAGTGTGTGTGAGTGAGTGTGTGTGAGAGTGTGTGTGAGTGTGTGTGAGTGAGTGTGTGTGTGAGTGTGTGTGTGAGTGAGTGTGTGTGTGAGTGTGTGTGTGAGTGAGTGTGTGTGTGTGTGAGTAGTAGTAGTAGCAGCAGCAGCAGCAGTAGAAGGGAGGTCAAGGAAAAGGGGAAATAATTAAAATAGTAGTTATAAGAGGTGAGGATGGAAGGACTGGGAAGGTATTCAAAGGCAGAGAAGCTCAGGAGAAATGCTCAACAGATTTCCCGTACATTAAGGTGACTGTGGTTAATAACTAAATATAATCTTGAGAAGGAAGAGTCTAGAATTTGTGTTCTCTCCATCCCCCAAAAGGCATGTGGGGCAGCCCGCATGGGATGCAGCCTGATTTACATATTCCAGAGGGTACAAGAGACAAGGCAGTACGTTTTTCACCATAAAGACACACACTCAACTTGTCAAAATAAACCTATAGGAAAGAGAAAAGGCAATAGACTAACATGTAAGCTTTCCTCTGGAGGTGAAGGAAACACTAGGGGACATTGAAGGACGTGGGGAAAGTTAGGAACAGATCTGGAGGTTGAAAGGATGCATCATAAGGCACTGACTATCAGACAGTGGAACTCGAGACCTTGGACACTAGTTGTCAACAGGTGACACTCATTCTCCAGACAGTGAGAACTGGAGGACCTACAGAGCCAGGGGACAAAGCAGGTGACACTCACTCTCCAGACAGTGAGAACTGGAAGACCTACGAAGCCAAGGGGCTGTCCTTGCCGAAGAGCAGCTCATATCAAATTGCTTTCCTAGCCCTGTGTGCTAGTTTTGTTGAACTCAGCAAGGGCAACTGCACAACTGGAGGGCATCAATACTTGCTCTTGCTGCTATATAGTCTAACCTAGAGTGAAGAGAGGGGTGTTATAAATGGGAAAGGTGACAATCTTGGCGCACTGGTTATTGCCTGGTGGGTTCCTTATTCTACTTAGAGAAGCAGTGGTATAAGAGAGAGCATACTGAGAGTACCTGTACTTGCAAAGGACCCAGAACTGACTGCCAGCATCCCAAAGCTACATTTCTAGGGAATCTCATGTCTTCAAGCACCCAGTCTTTGGAGCTGGTAATGTGTTAGATACACAGAACTGGAGCCCTTACTGTCTCATTAGTGATTACATTTTGAGCAAAAGCTAAAGACATTTTGATAAGAACTGAAAGTTCGGGTTAGTGATGCTGCTCAGCTGCAGAGCACATGCCGACCCCTTCAAGACCTTAATCACAACCCACAACTTAATAAACAGCTCCAATTTTACACAAATGAGAAGTCTCCTGTCTTCAGGCAATTCTCATTAACAATCAAACATCTAACTTTGTGAAGGGTTTGCCTAATGCAAGACAATGTAAGATAACATTGCAATGACTCAGCTGGGAATCGTCTAGAAGGCTCTTTTATTTCCTTTTTAATACAATTTCAACATATATTCCCCCATTTTCCTCCTCATCCTTAAAAAAAAAATCACAAACCAAACCAAACAACCAAATAAAAACCTTTCTCAAAGATCAGGAGGGGTTCCTAGACCTGGCACCTAATTCAAAATTATGTGTTTAATTTTTACTTCACAAGTTATCCAGACATTTGCAGAGGGTATTTGCTTTTTAATGTACTTCTAGGCTTCCTCCCTGAACCACTTTGGCTCGAAGAATGCAAAGTAATTTACTAACAACACAAACATATACTTAAAATATAAATCTCTAGAGTAGGAAAATGAAAAAGAAACTTTAAAATAAAAAAAAATCAACTGTGAAATTGTGTGTGTGTCTCATAATTACAACAAACTTGATTGCACTATCTCACAGAAACATCTAGAATATGAATTCAGTTGAGGGAGGGTACAGGACTGACGGTAACAGAATCGAAGCGGTGCCAAGGTGTCTTAACACAGTTGGAGAAGGTCATGGCAATGTGAGTAAATGAATACTATAATTCTTGCTTCGCTCCATTAACCTGAAAGGTGGAAGGTGACTTCTTAGCTACTTTACAAACAGGACCTACCTCCTCACAAACAGTGGAAAACCGGTTGAGAAACTGCACCGTGTGCACCACAAACTGGTTTAGAAAGGCCACGGTTCTTTTCTGTTGAATAGCAGGCACCTGCGTTATGTAAAAACAAGCAAATATGATTCTTACAGGAGAGACATACACTGTGCAATCCTCTGGATATCTGGGTTTCATAAAAAGCATGATCTTGCCCTGTGACATGGATTTCACGGAGAGCTGAGAATAGTCACTGATTCGTTTTCCTGAACTGTGTGTGTGTCAAAGTGACAGGGGCTGCAAAAGTTTGAGAATGTGTTACACACACACACACACACACACACACACACACACACACACACACACACAAAACCACGCACAGGCACCCACGCAAGTAAAAGGGAGGAAGAGGGAAGGAGGAGGGATAGAGTGAGGGAGGGGAGAGAGAGAGAGAGAGAGAGAGAGAGAGAGAGAGAGAGAGAGAGAGAGAGAGAGAGAGAGAGAGAGAGAGAGAGAGAGAGAGAGAGAGAGAGAGAGCGCTTGAGGGTCAAAGACATAGTGTTAGAAGTGGCACTGTCCCCAGACTGTCAACCTTGGGCGTAGAGTCACGTGAGGTGGGGAGCGAAGGCTGCGAGGCAAATCAACTCTTTACTTAGCTCTCGAGGGACCCCTTCCAAGGTAGACTGCGGGGCTCCCCCTTCCCCAGGCTAGCAAAAGAGGGGCCCAGGTTGGGCCTGGAGATGTGGCGTCTCCCGGGGAACCAGGGCCCCTTGGCCAAGCTACTTCCCGGTTCGCCGGAAGCGTAAGTCATCTTTTACAAACCTTGGTCAGGTCTATGCCCGACCCCATGAGAGGAAGCCCATCCTCATCCATCTCCTCAGCGGATGGGGACCCCGGGACTCAGGCACAAGCCCCTCCCAGCCCGGTAGAGAACCCCGACTCCCTTCCCAAGTTCCTGCCTCCGGGGCCTTTCCGGAAGAAAGATGCCGAACCCACCAATCAATCGGTGACTTCGGAGAGCCCGCCCCATTGCCCTCGCTCAGCATTCTGGGATTGGTAGTTCAAGATACTGTTTGCAATGTAGGCCTGGGAATGCAGCTGAAGAGCAGCTGCTGTTTTAACTGTAAAATCTAAAAAGTACCAGACAGGCGCTTTAACCAGCTAAGACAGAATGGGAAAAGATATTCGCTAACCCCACATCTGACAGAGGGCTGATCTCCAAAATTTACAAAGAACTCAAGAAGAAGTCTCCAAAACACCAAAGGAGCCAATCAAAAAGTGGGCTGCAGAACTATATAGAGAATTCTCAATAGAGGAGTCTAAAATGGCTGAGAGACACTTAAGAAAGTGCTCAACATCCCTTAGCCATTAGGGAAATGCAAATCAAAACAACTCTGACATACCATCTTACTCCTATCAGAATGGCTAAAATCAAAAACACCAATGACAATTTATGCTGGAGAGCATGTGGAGAAAGGGGAACACTCCTCCACTGCTGGTGGGAGTGCAAACTTGCACAGCTACTTTGAAGATCAGTATGGAGATTCCTCAGGAAAATGGGAATCAGTCCACTGCAAGGCCCAGCAACTCCACTCTTAGGCATATAAACAAAAGATGCACATTCATATAACAAGGATGTCTGATCCACTATGTTCATAGTAGCATTATTTGTAATAGCCAGAACCCTGGAAGCAACCTAGATGCCCCACAACTGCAGAGTGGATAGAGAAAATGTGGTACACTTACACAACGGAGTACTATTCAGTGGAAAGAAAAACAATGGAATCTTGAAATTTGCAGGCAAATGAATGGCACTAGAAGAAACCATCCTGAGTGAGGTCACAAAAAGAGAAACATGGTATGTACTCACTCATTTATGGATTTTAGACATGAAGCAGGGAGTTCCAGCATACAATCCCACTACCAGAAAGTCTGGGAAACAGAGAAGACCCTAACAGAGATAAGCATGGTACCCCAGAGAAAGGGAATGGAACAGAATCTCCTGAGTGGACTGGGAGCATGGGGGGAGGGGAGAGGGAGCTGGGAAAAGTGAAAGGGAGAAGAGAAGGGGAGAGGAGGACATGGGGGAGCAGGAAGGTTGAGTCTCGGGAAGAATAGAGCGTAGGATGAGAAATACCGTAATAGAGTGAGTCATTATAGGTTTGAGGGGAGATCTGGCATTGGTGAAATTTCCAGAGATCTACAAGGATGATACCAAGTGGCAAGCTAAGCAATAGTGATGAGGCTATCTTAAATGTCCTCCCTTGATAATGAGACTACCTTGTATGCCATCCTAGAACCTTCATCCAGTGACAGACGGAAGCAGAGGCAGACACCCACAGCTAAACCCGAACTGAACTGGAAACCAGTTGCAAGAGGGAGGAGCGATGAGCAAAGAGGTCAAGACCAGGCTGGTGAAACCCACAGAAACAGCTGACCTGAACAAGGGGGAGCTCATCGACCCCAGACTGATGGCTTAGAGGCCAGCATAGGACTGATCCAGACACCCTGAACATGGGTGTCAGTGAGGAGGCCTTGGCACTAGATCAGTACTTATTTCTGGCATGCGAATGGACTTTGGGAGCCCATTCCACATGGAGGGATGCTCTCTTAGCCTGGACACATGGGGGAGGCCTAGGTCCTGCCCCGGATGATATAACAGACTTTGGAAATCCCCCATGAAGGGCTTCACTCTCCCTGGAGAGTGGAGTAGGGATTGGGTGGGGGATTGGAGGGGTTAGGAGGGGGGGCGGGAGAGGAGGGGAGTGAGAGGGAGCTGGGATTGACATGTGAACCAAGCTTGTTTCTAATTTAAATTTTAAAAAGTCTGAAAAATATCCAAGAAAACACACACACACACACACAGAGAGAGAGAGAGAGAGAGAGAGAGAGAGAGAGAGAGAGAGAGAGAGAGAGAGAGAGAGAGAGAGGTGCTGAAGAGATGAAGGGGAAAACTCCGCCTCCAAAGAACAGTGAAGACACACAGAGTCTTGATGAGCAGGGTTTAGGTGAAAGTTGTGGCAGTGTGAATTAGCACTGGCAAACACCTGTGTATCCATGGGTACATGTCCCCACATGGACTCAGAGCGCTGTGGTGCTGTAGACAATAGATGCTTCTAAGCTGTCCAAGCAAAGAAGGGGAAGCCAACTTTAGTAGCTACTTAACGTTAAGAAGAGTTAAGATGACAATCTGAACAGGCAGTTGTGGCACATGCCTTTAATCCCAGCACTCTGGAGGCAGAGGCAGGCCGATCTCTGTGAGTTCGAGACCAGCCTGGTCTACTAAGCAAGCTCCAGGACGGCCTCCAAAGCTACAGAGAAACCCTGTCTCAAAATCCATCCCCCCACCCCTCACCCCCCCACACCCCTCTGCCATAAATGACAATCTGGAGCCAGGCAGTGGTGGTGCATGCCTTTAGTGTCAGCACTCAGGAGGCTCTGAGTGTTTGAAGCCAGCCTGGTCGACAGAGCAAGTTCCAGGACAAGCTCCAAAGCTACAGAGAAACTGTCTCAAAATACAAAGAAAACAACAAGAACAACAAAACATAACAATCTTGAATGAAGGGCAAAGGGAAAGCTGTTTGGTGGTGTTAGCAGATATGGATAATAATAAGAAACAAGGCAGAGATAGACACAAAGAGCTGATGAGGGGTCTTTTATGCCAGGATAAGAGCCATGTTTTTCTAAATGTGATTCATGGGCACTGGTTGGGAATGCTTCTTAGAAGGCCTGTTCCAGAGAGTAACCTCAGACAAACCAAATCAGGATCCCTTTTGGGTAAACTTTGATACTGCATTTTACATATCACTCCCTGGAATTGTTCTGAATTGGGGTCTTCAGCAGTAGGGCTTTATGCCAAGTTCTATGGAACCTCACTGCTCAATAATTCTAAAAGATGTAATCCATTCCTAGTATTATGTTTTTTGTTAGCAATAGTGCCTTTAGCACCTAGTAGGGCCATTGTTGGCTTATAATAGGGTAACTTCATTTAAATTATGAACTACATACATACATACATATGCATATATATAGTTTAGGAACCTTCTATAGTAGTCAATTTCCTTATGCCTTTTCCAAAAGGTCTTTAGTGTTTTTTCAATGATAGTTAGCCCTGCCTAGACTCCCTCCTCTACCCTACTCTTGTATATTTTGGGGGACCCTCCAAACTAATTTCCACTCCTATTAGCTTCCCTTTTCCTGAGAATGGCATTTGTTGTCATTTGATATTAATCTTAGCCACTCTGACTGGGGTAAGACAAATCTCTAAATAGTTATAATTTGCATTTCCATGGTGGCCAAGGATGGTGGACATTTAAGAAAATGTTTGTCAGTCATTTGTATTTCATCTTTTGTGAATTATTTCATTTAGCTCCATGCCCCATTTACTGAATTTTTTGAAGTAAGCCAGCAATTAAGTTTGAGGCATTGATTAACTACTATTCTCATGAAAGACTGATCTGCACGTGATGCTGTGTGACAGTATTTCATTGATATTAGTGACGTATTTCGACACCAGGGGCAGTTCTCTCAAATCCTGTTGCTGCTTTAACAGGATTTGTGTAATACTCAGTGCTTTCTTCTTTCAGTGGCGTTCACTGCATCCTCTCTTGGAGCGGTTTCCACTCTGAGATCTACTTTCTTTGCTCAGCAATTAAACATTAAACATACTTCTCTGTTTAAGTATTTTTCATGAGATTAAAAACAATTCAGTCACATGTTCAGGCGCTAATTCTTTTTTTATTTTTGTTTGTTTGTTTTTCAGGACAGGGTTTCTCTGTGGCTTTGGAGTCTGTTCTGGAACTTGGTCTGTAGACCACACTGGCCTCAAACTCACAGAGATCTGCTTGCCTCTGCCTCCGAGTGCTGGGACTAAAGGCGTGTGCCACCACCACCTGGCAGCTTCCAATTCTAACTTCAGTCCTCTTGGTATTCCTCCACATCTGCAATTACCTCCATTGAATCTTGAATTACCTCGAGCTATCCATGCTTTGGAATCCACTTCTTGCAAATCCCCCTTTCTCCCCTTTGGGATGGCTGTTCTGTAGCCCACCTTAGCCTCAACCTCACATAATGGAAATTCTTGATCTCCTGCCTCCATTTACCAAGTGCTGGGATTACAGGTGCCTGCAACCATGGCCAGCTCAAATTTTCTTGACATTGACATTTTGACCTCTGCCTATGGATCACAAATGTTCTTAGTGGCACTTAGAATTTTGAATTCTTTTTGGTCTGCAAACAATGTTGTAACAGATATGATATCATCTGTGCTCTAGTCCATGTACACAGTACAGGCAGAATAGATTTAGTGTAAATCTCAAGGGCCCTAAGGTTTTAGAAGAGTAAATCGGTATTGGATTCAATATAAACCCTCCAGCTTCAATAAGTCCTAGCAAGAAAGTCAGTCTGGCTTCTGAAGCTTTGACAATGGCATTGAAATCTTTCTGGCTATAAAAGTCTGACATGGCATCTTCCCGTAGAAAGCTGTTTCAGCTGTGTGGAAAGCCTGTAGGATAGAGTAGCGACCTTTGTCAATTATCTTTTCTAGACCTCAGGGCTCACTTGTTGAATCTTCTGCATCAACACTTAGTGAGACACTATGCCCTTGTATGTTATGAAGACAATTTTCTTCCCCGAACCGAATGAGTGAAGCAACCTCTGGTAGCATCAAATTTGCCTTCTGCGAGGCCTTGACCTTTTTTAGTTTTCATAGAACTAAAGATAATTAAGACCTCGTTCTGGGTTAGGCTTTGGCTAAGGAAAATAATGTGGCTGTTTTGACTTTCTATTCAGACCAATAACTTTCTCTATATTAACAACAAAGCTCGTTTAGGTTGTTTTATTATCATTCATGTTAATTACTTTCAGCAAGTTCTTTCCCAGTGTGGTTTCTTATTTGCAAGTTTTAACAATAAAATTTTTAAAAATCAATATATCTAAAAGGTTTCCTCTATCTTTACAACCCGATTTACTGG